TACAACTAACTTCACTCTCCCTACATAAACTCCATTATGTACTATTTCTAAACTTTGGTGGTAAAATGAAGAATTATATTGAAGGAGTAGTTATCAATTACACAGTGAATTTTAAGAAAAGTGGACAGGAACAGGGAGGCGAGAAAAAATTTCTGTCACTTCAGTTTATTGTCAGGGTCCCGACACATCCATGGATGCAAGTCTGGAAAACAACTTATCTGTTTACAAAAACAGAAGAGTATTTGCTTTCTTTATACCGAAGCAGAAAAATGATTTTATAGGTTGAAATTGTCATATTTTATACCATGGGGGCTTGTGAAGCAACAAATTTTATAGGAACCATATGCTGGGCGCAAATGTTCTAAACACTACCAAAACTTGTAGCAATGAGAGATTTCCAAAGAAAGGCATTGTCCACCATGTGACTGATGTATTTGTTTCTAAAAGATATTTTACATGTGGTTCTGAGAGGACAAGAATACATATTTCTGCAACTATCAAATACTTTAAAAACGCTGGTTTAGTTCCTTCCTAGGTAAGAGATTCAAGTGCCATTTTTGGAGCCTTCTGGTTTATGAGGTGTAGGATTAGAAATAGTACTTCTCTTCAATATCTCTAAATAAAAAATGGATATTCTAAAAGCCTATTTTCCATTCCTTTTTGTTTAAGCTAACCTCTGGCATCAAAGAATCCCACTGGAATTCTTGTAGTCCCTGTATTGTTGTGATTAGACTAAACCTCCACAAGATTTCATTCACCACTAAAAACCCCCATCATTTACACTATTTAAAACTAAGACTAAGTTATCAGTGAGATTTGAACTGAGAAAGCCACCAGTGAGTTTTGGAGGCAGTTTGCTTTTCCTGCTTAGATTTTTACTGCAATCATTACCCAGCTGCGCAGGCAGGAAAGAGCTTTATCTTCTTTGTGTGTATACAAGGAACTTCCCGTTTCAAATGTGCTTTAATGAAAAGAAAGCGAGCCTTCAGAGTCCTCGCAGACACCCTGAATTTTTGTGAAGACAAGTAAATATTGGGAAGTTGGAAGATTAAGCTTACTATTTTTCAATGCCAACACAATCTACTACAGGACTTCAGGAAGAAGTTTCACCCGTAACAGTTATCCCAGAAGTAGTACTAGGGTTCTTGTCACTTACCATTGAAGTGGTTTCTTTTGATCCTGAGAAGGGTTGGTGATTTTCTTTCACAGCAGGGACTTCACCAGCTTACCCAGGTTTGGTTTTTGGTAGGGTGCTAGAAGATGGGCAACCTAGCCTTGCCCTGTGGCTCTCTCTCCGAGCTGGATATTCTAGGTCTAGAAGTTGACTGGGAGCAGAAAAGACAACACATTCCCCTTCAATAAACAGGTGAAGCGGGGCCTGATACTTGCACATACGTGTTTTAGATAGAGCCTTCTTAAGGAATGATTTTTTTTTTCCCTTAATTGGCATGCATTCCCTGAAGGTTTTAAGAATGAGAGAGCCTTACACGTATTTCACACTCAGACAGATAACTTCCTTTAGTCTATACCTAAAATCTTTGTACATCAACCATGACAACACTTTCAGATGGCACTTCTCCTTTGCTTCTACTGGCAAATACACATTGTCAAGTAAAATCAAGACAGCATTTTACCACTCAATGAACAACTCCACCTCCATTTAGATGCAAATTTTTTATAGATTGGTAGGATATGGATACAGATACAAGTGATTACTGGAATTATTTCTGGAACAGGTACCTGAAAAGCTTTTCCTCCAATGAACAGTTCAAGAGGCCAAACTGAGAGAAGCCAACCTACTAGAAGTAGACAACCCTCCCTTTAGGCAGAGTGTCTCAAACTCTTCTGGACATGCTATTTTTACATTGCTTCCAGTCTTTGGTCACGCACCTACCCCAATCATAGAAAAGTAAGTCTTTAATTACATTTCAACAACATTCTTATCAGGAATCAAGAAAAAAAAGGTTATATTATACCACACAACACTGGATCATTCCCCCATAAAAATGGCATCAAAGCAATATTCCATCCTGCTTTATCAGGCAAAAACCCACTTAAATCATCATGACACAAGTCCACACAGAAGTCAGATGCAAAGACAGTGGGCTATTGCTCTAAGTGAAGGAACACCACAAAGTTACAAAGTGTTTATTCAGGATCTAGGTTGAAGCTCTCCAAGTACCTACCCGTAAGGTTAAACCCCCTGTTTTTTGTTGAAAAAGGAGTGTGCTTTAAATATTCAGACCAAAGAGCATTATACACTAAGGAAAAGACGCAGGCAAGTGGCAATGCAAAGTTTTACAGAATTCCCCATCCGCATAACTCCATTACTGTCAGGAAAAAGGTCTCCATGCTCCTGTCCCCCATTAAAGGGGAGTTCCTGTGCCTTGTTAGAGGCTGCTGGCAAGCATAAGGAGTATTTCCCCACAACACACACACATCTACTCAGACAATTAGCTTCATTCATACCAGTCTGCCACATAAAATCTATTTTCAAACAGTAAGGATGCCTGCTAGGTCTACAGCAGTGTTTAACAGTAGACAGACACCGCACACCTTTTTCTTGAGTGGTTTTTCGTCCGAATACTAAGCTGACCAAATCAACAGTTAAATTCAGATGCCACAATCCACACAATTTTGGGTAAATATCTTTCACTTATAAATGAAGATGCAGGAAAAAATTACTGAAATAAGAATCAAAACCAGACACTGTCCCAGAGCACGTTACTTAAGAGGCAGATTAAAATTCAAGACATGCCATATAAATTCATTTATGTTAAGAAAAAATATAGAACAACCCCATCACAGAAACACTCACACATCATCTTCATTAACTACATTAAAATACAAAGTATTTTCAAAGAAAGCAGTTAACCAGAATCAGCTATGCAGACAAGTTACAAATCCCACCATAAAACACAAAGTCTAACCAGCCAATCAGTATCATGTCAGCTACAGTGCAGCTATTACCAAGGAGATCTGTATCAAAAAGCACTTTCATAGGAGTATAATTTTTGTTAGGTTGTGTTTCTGTAGCCATTGCTTAGTATTTTACTGTTGCGAGGAAAAGATGGATTGTTAAACAGCATATGCCAAGATATAATATAAAAATTAGTGATAAAAGTATAAATCACATTCACCAACTTTCTGACTTTTTCCCCTCATTGGAATAACACCATGTAACTGAAGATCAATTTAACTATCATTGTAAATAGCACACAGCATTTATAACAGCGTCCCCAGAGCTTATCTTCGCTGACTTAGGGGAAAATACACCTCTTCTCCTTTAAGAATATATAGACCATTTACTACATGTGATCAATTATTTCCTTCAAACACAATATACATACAGCACTGATACTCACTTATGCCAAGTTTAGCAACTTTGGTTTTTTTTCCAGCTACTGCACGTTTTGAAGTGTAAACCCCAGTGTTCTGATATTCATTTACATAAATATCCTAATCAGATTTTGTTTAAGTGATAACAACATTTCCTTGCTATCCTTTCTCTTAATGTCTCTTAATTTCTGTACATAAATTTATCACCAGATTGGAAAGACACTTCAATCAAAACCAGCTTTTTGTATGTCTGAACACACACACCTATAGGAAGGCAGGAATACGGGTATGCACGGGAATTGGTTAGTGGACAGGTACATCTAAATTATGAGTCAATAATGCAATATTAGTAATGATCACAAGTGACCACATTTCACACTTTTTTTTTTTTAAGACAGATTATATAAAATGCACCATAAAGTTCTAGACTGAATCTATTTTTATTTGGTTTGGCTTCTGTATGTATTAACTTCAGCTAACAAGTTCTTGTATTAAAATTAAGACAGTAGTAATGACACATACGTATTTCCTCCTACATAATTTTATTTATTCTAATGGGGGAAACATAGCACTAGAATCATCTAGTCAATATCAGAAGTACAGAATTAAATTCAGATACAGGTTAATACTAGGATGATACTTTAAACTTAGCATTATACTCTAATTAAGAGCCTTCTGTTACTTAGGAGCAGGAGGAAGGCCTGTGGTCAGATAAGAGCTCCAGATGTTTGGGGTATGGAAAAAAGTGGATTGAGCTCTGCCCAACGTAACAAAGAGCATGGCAGTTCATAAGGCACGTTACAACCAAAGGTAAAGGGATAGAATTTTCTCTGCTGTCCGCTGGGAAGAGAACAGGTGTAGGACTTGCAATTCTTAGGCTACTCCTACAACTCAAAAGCTTTTCTGCCTTTCCAGAAGCTACCTTATAATGACTATTGGAAAATTTACTGTCTGTAACAGAAAAAGTCTTTTACGGAGAACAGCCCTAGCGAGAACCTTCTTTCCCCTTTCACAGAGACAGAGAGGTCCAAGATCCAGATTCTTAGGGCCAACTTAAAACTAATAAAAAATTGTTGAGTAGGTAGAACCAGTAAGGTTTGAAGCCCTGTAACCCAGAAGTATAACAGTAAAAATGAGTGGTGCATGAGCAGATGAATACTCCTAAGTCCATCTCTTCAGGTAATAAACATGAAGACAATCAGATAAATTTACTCATGTCTAGATCAACAGTGGTAGATTAGAAAAAAGTTAATACTGTACAGCTAACTGATGTCCAGTTACATAATAAAAGCTTACTTAAAAGAAACAAATTACTCTGTACATGCAAAGACACCTGCACATCACGTCATTCTCTATGTATGTATGTATATATGCATCTACATGCACATATATACGTGTGTACGTATGTATACACACCACCAAAATGCAGGGAAATCAACTTTAGTTAAGTATTACACAGCAGCAATATTCCCACACTTCTAAAGCGTGCTTTCTTAAGCCTTAACTTACCTCATGAACTAGTGTCACAAACTGGAAATTTTATGTTTTGGTTGCGTGATGCCATTCTTCTCCCCTCCCTAAACTCGTAAGCAATGATGCACTCAGTTTAAAAAAAAAAAAAAAAGTCGCTGCAAAATGAACCAGACAAATGAGATACTTACTTATCAAAGCTATCACTATATTTTATGAAGCTCTCCAATTTTTCCTTGGCATATTCTACCACATCTGAATGAAGCTCTATTCCATGATTTATCCCAAAAGGTCCTGTAAATAAAAACAGCATGGGTTTTGGTTTGTTTTTTTTTTTTTTTCTTTAAGCACAGCACAACCACATGGAACAGCATTATACCTTTCATCTGTGAAAGCACTAACATTATATAAAACACAAAGTATCCCAACACCACTAGACAAAGTTATTTTCTACATCTGCATTACGAATGCCTTCTACCTTCTTCTTAATCAGAGATCAATGGAAGAACAGGGACAGAACTATGGCAAAACAGTTTTGTAGAATGAATTTTCTTCATAAGCATGCAGAAAAAGATTAAACTGACTACCTTGTCAGGGCAACTTCTTCTTCAAGGCAGTATGTAGTTGGAATACAACAATTTCAAATTATGATTTAGTCTGTGTTTTGGTATCTAAATTTTGAAAAGTTTTCTTATAGCAAAATTTTCAGCTTTTGACAATTTAGAGATTGGGTATTACATCCCTGACCTACATCTGCTCTTCTATTTTGCAGGTTCCAAAATCAGAAGCCTGGTCCCAATTTACTTATGTAATAATTAATTTCCAGCTAGAACACTGAAATTGACCACATTGTGTTCACACATCACAATTTATCATAGTTGCAACACTGCTTTCCTGCAATCAAATCCAAGTATATTTCCAAGTCAATTTGTGTGCCAGAAGTTAAAGCTATTTTTCAGGAACAAGAAGAAATCATGAGACAGTATTATGAGGATTATTCATATCAGGAAGGACTCTGAATCAGATAGTCACATTTTCTGGGGGGATTCTATATTTAACATGCACTCATAGCCCAGGGACTTTAGTCATTGGAGCATAGAATTGGAAAAGGGAGAGGAAGAGGGAAGAAGGGAAAGTAAACATCAATAAGATTAGACAAAACTTATATTTATATCCTCTACTGCATTCTGAACCTTTCCTAAGTATTTAGCTCAAAGATGTTAGTCCAATGAAACAGAATTCAATTTGTCTTTTCTAGGACACTGGTTAACAAAACAGACCCAGGGTTACCGAGAAAGGTTTCATTTTACTGCAAGAAAAAAAAAAAATAGTATATGCCACTAAGCTGGCTAGTAATTGCAATTCTTCATGTAACTTAAAACATTTTCTACTAGGTGAAATGAAACCAATCGTTTACCATAGGCAGTACTCGTAAGACCTCTCTGACGGCAGGCAAGAGGTAGATCATCCAAGGGATGTTCTTAGAACTTGTGAAAACATGTACCTCCTGTTGACACTCATACCTACTGTAAATTTAGTTTATTATCTATCACATTAAGAAAAGCATTAGCATAGGCAATCCCTTCCTATCTGTTTCTTTATTCAATGTTCCCTTGCACAGTAATAGGCTATGACGTTTCTAACCAGTGGAGCTAAAGTTCTACAGCATCCAGGATCATCCAAGGTATGTTTTCTTTAATTAAAAATTAATCAACATTCCTTTAACATTGTAATTTAAATTAAAAAAAAAAATACATCGACATCGGTCCCAAAATTTACACATACATGCCTTTTGATACTCAATTTTGAAAAACAAAGAACTAAAAAACCTGTGTCAGTTGCCCCAACAGCTTGAAATTGTATCTATGAAAGCAAGACACCACCTCATCATGATACACCATAGTACTCCTAATCTGAACAGAAATATGAGAAACATGCTCTCTTCTTTCATCAGCAAAGTCACAGGTGTATATTTAAGCAAAGAGTCAGTCATTCTAAAAACGTGAAACCAACTTCTCTGTTACTTTCCAAAGTCAACTGGCCTCTTTCAGCATAATGAGCTAGCAATTCCACCAACTAGGCTGAACTACATTTACATTTTGGCAGTATCAATAACAGTTAATTTAAGCTCTATGACATGTGGTTTTGGGGTTTTTTTGTTTGCTTTGTTTCTTGGGGGTTTTTTTTTGGTCTTTTACTATGTTGCTATACTTACAAGAATTTAGCAGTTTCAAATTATTTGCTAATTTGATCTAGTCATTTTGACACTGCCAATGTGGCACAAATACTACTCACTACATTGTCAAATTTAGAGATTCAACTACTGTCAAAAACCACATGGTTCTCTGTTACTAATTACAGTGCACACTGAAATTGGTTTAAAAAATATGAGCTTTTAAAGATATATATGGTTTATGTCTCAGAAAATTACTTCTGTTTTTCTTTGTTAAAGCAGCTGTTCCCTGGCTTAAAACAAAAACTAAAATAAAGAAGAATGATGTAAGTAGTAATTTTATCAAAGGCAGCAAAGTAAGAAAATAAAGCCACACAAGCTGTATTTATACCTTCCATACCTCAGCCTAGCACTGAAACCACATCACAACACTAAGCAGCACTACAGAAACATGGAAAGTCTGCTTCTGTAAGCAGCTCAGCAATCACTGCTCCAGGCTCCTCAGCACTGCTAGAGAAGTATCAGCACCTGAGCTGGCTCTGTGGAAACCCGAGTGTAACCGTGCTCCTCGGGGGCTGTCAGCCAATCTCACCCTCAGCAGAAGACACGTCTTTTCCTGTTCATTTTCTTCAACTCCATATATCATATTCTGAAGGATAGGAAATTCTGCTTGATAAGGAGAGGTCAAGCCCAGGAGCATTCAACAGCCAACCAGTAGCCACTCAAAACAGGTTAGATAAATACACAGATACAAGTGCAATATACATAAGCCACAATTTCTTTTTCAAACATCATAGTTAAGAAAGAATAATGAAATAACAAAGCTTTCCACAAGGCAGAGAAGTAAATGAATACCATTACTCACTACCCTGAGCAAACATATTAGAGAAAAAAAATGCAGTAATATTTACTAATTGCTTTAATACTGAAATAGAACACTGAACTTAAATTTCAGTCTAATTAGAAATATCTACACTCTCAAAGAGTAACACTCTTGAAAATGGCAAAGCAGCACTCTATTGAAGTAGATATCTCTTTTTTTCAATTTTTACCTGTGAATTAACATAATTCCTGTTTCCACAAGAGAACAGCAGAATCTGTTTAATGTATTGGTACTAACTGGAATAAAACACACTCCCAGAGATGCCAACAAATGACATTTGTTATGCACTATTAGGGATAATTTCCACTGTTGAATAAGAACAGATGACAGAAAGTAACTAAACTAATTGAAAATTAAGAAAATAACACTTCACCCCACAGTTGTGTACATAAATAAATATACGCAAAATCTGTATATTACCTGTCAGCAAGGTTTCTGCAACCAAGGAAACATAAAAACTCCACGTAATACAGTCAATAAAATTATATCTATGAAAACTACATACTAAAGTAAATGAAGTTATTTCATGTAATGAAATTTGTTTGTAAAAACAAACATTATTTGTTGGTACACACGCTCTGTATTCTAAATATTGGGGAGAGGGATGAGAACTAAAGCATTTCTCTCACTACGCTAGGTTTTAAAATATAAATGTAGACAGCAAGATTTCATTCCATCTGTTTTCCCTAGAGGAAATGTATTTGAAAACAGAAGAAAAAAACCACACTTCTAATCTGTTAAAACAGTTTTAAAAACCTACAGACCTGCAGTGCTTAAACAGTCTTACCAGTCTACATCCCAAAACTTTTCACTCTAATAAAATGATTAAATAAATGTATTTTAAAATAATTGTTTGCACACTGATAGATATTTATTTTTCAATTAAGTTTCTTCATTAGCCTTACAATTTAGACTTCTTTTTCCACAAACTGAAGATCAAAACAATAACCTAGATTAAGGGCATAAACACGGTGCAAATGCAGACTAAAATTTTCATCCTCAAAAATTGTTCCTCTATGCCTTCTCCTTTCAAGCCAGAAAAGGACTGTTTCCTTTCAAATTAGAATTTTAGACTGCAGAAAGGCAAGCAGGAACAACTTCCAAAACACTCCATGAAATGTCACTGAACAGCAGTGTCAGTGAACAGCTTGTAGATACCATACAGTATTTTAACAACATCTCTCGAATACCCAGTCTTAAGTATAATAACTATTGCTTTTAAAGAAGTAGAAGTGAAGTTTTATAGGGCTTGTACAATCTTCTAAAAATATGTAGAAACACCGTATTAAAATAAAACATTCAAGTTACCTAATATTAATCCCACCATTGTACTCAAGTATCCGGTTCCACTACCCAGATTTAGAAAAGATAATCCAGGCTGAAGCTTCAGTGCTTCCATGACTTCGGAATAAATGCAAGGTGCTGACAAGTGTATATTTCCATGCTTCCAGGCCAAGTCTTTATAAGCATTGTCCCTGTATCCTTCCAGATAATAATCACCACGATCAATTGCTCTGAAGGCTTGCTCCACACTCTCAGTGCGAATGTACTGAGCTTCTTTCAAGTTATCAATTAAGTCATCGTTGTCTTCTCCAGCACTCACAGCTCCTCCCATGTTGAATTTCTACGATAATTCAATTAGTTTGCAAAATACATTAGGAGGAGAGTTTTCCCAAAAGTGTAAGTATGTAATGGATTCTCAGTTCTTCTTTCAGAAGCACATCACAAACAAATCCTGGAAAATAGATACATTTATGTAACTTAAGTTTCAAAAGACAAACAAATCAACAACTATTAGAGGGTGATGAAATACTGTTAGTATTGGATCATTTTACTAAGCAGAACTGTGAAGAGTCAGAACAGCTAGTATTTACTAAAAATTCTGCCCTTCAGATTTGAACTCTATCCAGTATTTTTCAGCTTAGCTTTAGTATGTGAACATGGACTGTCTGCATTAGCAAGCAGTGCTGTGCAAGAGTTTACACACACTAAAAACAGTGCTAAGGATCTATCACCCATAGTGTATGTATTTGGGAGGGACAGCAACTGCCTTTGGACTAGTTCTAGTCCCATTCCGAGAACTAAATGCCCAATAGCAGTCGGAGCATGTACCAACTTCGTTAAATTTGAAAGGCACTGTGTTTACATGCTCTGACATCACCCCATAGTGGGAGACAAAGCCAGGTGAGTAGCGATGTCCAGAAGATGCTTTTCAGATGTTCACTTTTGAAGTGAACCAGAGTACTGGTGCAGACACAATTACACATTGCTCAGTTCTCGATTCAGCACAGGAAACCCCTCTGAGCATCCGAGCTCCTCCTAATGCCTGCCATATTCACTAGAGGATTATGAATTCCTTAAGTACATAGAAGTTTTCAACAGCTGGCCAGCTCTCAAGTGACTAGCAAGTTTCATGAATTCTACACAGCATGTTCACTTCAAAATAATTCCTCCAGATCTGTACTTTATCACTAAACTCATAAAATCCATATGTTAACATCTTTAATGTTGTATGAACTACCAGTAAAATAGCAACAGAAGACTGGAAGAAAGGAAAACAAAAAAGTTTAATCCACCACTTCTAGATTAATAGAGTACCCATAGTGAGCTACTAATTAACATTAATTACAAAGTCAACTTAAGAGAGCCAAAAGTAGAAAAATACCATCATGAATCTTGGTGCACATTCTAGGTAACCTAGTCAAAGAAAAAAAAAAAAAAAAAAAAGACACACACACCCCTGACTCTTTAATTGCACTGATGAGTAATACCTTTTAAAAAAATTCCACCTGCCTCTTTGAACAAACATATTTCACTGAGCATTCTTTTTATAATCATGAATGTCATCTTTTATCTGAGAATACTGCAATGCAATTCAGCAAATTCCTGTTTTGTACATGCCTATTTGTGCAAATTCATGAGTCAGGAATTCACAAACACAATCCAGATGCCCAAGGTCATTTGAGTTATCAGAATGAAGTCGGTTCCTAAGTTTACATTGTGGGCATCACTGCAACACGATTTTTATGGTTAAACACTTTAAATGAAGAATCTTCTTAGAACACTAATGAATCCCTTTCCACATGTTTAACAGGTCTCTATCAAAAGACTACTAATAAAACTGTCCATAAAATCAAATGGAAATGTCCAGAAACTACAAGCAACTTCAAATTTGGTGGTTCCCTTCTTCTTCCCCCCCCCCCAACACCAAAGACTTTTGGAGTTTGCACCATTTTCCTGAAGGATTAAACTGCAAACAGCAATGTTTCTGAAGTAAAGCACTGAAACACCCTTGCAAATACAAAAAATGTGCTCACATGCTGGACTGTAGTCCAATGAGTAGACTTGTTCAGAATCAAAAGAGTACTAAAGAGTACTAAAACTACTAAAGATCAGTTCCAAGCAGAAAGTACATATGTAAAGATGCACATAACACTAAATAAGGGAAAACTATGATTAAACTTTGAAATTTGTTTTGACCTGCTATCTTCTTCTTGCTTTAAAAAGTTTCCACAGTATCCAACACCGAAGTTGTACAATTTATATCCTTCCCCTTTTCTAGGTGGCCATCACAAAACACTCTTCAACAAAGGAAACCTCATTTCTGTTTGCAGTTCTGACAGAAGTGTTTCCTTATCCTTGTCTTGCATTAATTTACATAAAACACCAAGTCACTAATGAAGATGAATAACCATATAGTACCAATGCTAAGATACACAGCTAGGTTTAAAATTTCAAGCACACAAGCTCAAATTACCAGATCATACAGTCACAATGCTTCTCCTTAACTACGAACATACTTAAAAAAGAAGCGGGGGCGGGGGGAGGCAGGAGGCACAGAATGCTATGGGCTCCTACAGCCCTGGTAAAATCATCTGTGGAATTGATGACTGCTGACCACTCGGCTGTGTGCTTCTGTCTGAAACAAAACCAATTCTCACTGACATCCTGGAGTGGAAAGAGGTAAAAAGTCACCAGGCATAATTATCAACCAGCAGGAAAACCTTGAAAGTAGAAAAACTGCACTTCTCAACATCCTAGTGCTCCAGAATCGCATGGGAACATCCCTTTCTATTTGTTTGTAATTCACCACTAAACTAAGGGACAATTTAAACAGGAAATTGTGGAACTTGAGAGCGGTTTTTTAAAGTAAAAAATAATTTGTAAAAATATTCCAGCCCTGCTCGTTTGTCTGTACTTGCATCAGACCTAAAAGTTCAATGAACTACTGAATCAAATGATACTTAACAGGTTATATAATCTACAGTGCCTAAAATAATAGTTTTGGCCATCCCTTCATCCTAAGAAGTTCGTGATTATCTTGAGACGTGGTTGGAAAGAATTTTAACTAAGAAGTAAATATGAGAACTGTGTTTCTTGAAGACTAATGCAGCTGCTACATTTGCGAAACAGAAATAGCACTTCCTGCCCACCTGCAGAGTGCATTCACCACCTCGCACCAGCAGATGGAGAACTTCACCAACTATCCGCACTCAACTGGTGAGCAGGCAAACACACAAACGGCTCAGATGGGAAAAGGCTATTCTTCCAACCTGAAGCTTTATCGTTTCTATCAAAAAGTCTTTTATTACTTTCATATAATTTTTTTGCCCGTAAATAACATTGTGTGACTTCAATATATAATTTTTTCCCCCTAAATAACATTGTGTGATTTCAATATAGTCATGACACTAAAACAGAATTAATTTCTTCCAAGTATTTTGTAATTTTATATTCTCGGTATTATCTGACTTTGTTCCTGTAGCTTCTCAAGATTTTCTACTGATGACACCCACCAAGTGTTTCACCTTCATTAATGGCTATCACACAGAATCTCAAAGGCAAAAGTCTGGTACACAGCATGACATTGTGGGAAGCAGGGGAGAAAACAAAAACAAGAGAGCCTTCTCTCAAGAAAAGGATGCTTATGCAGCAGAACAGAGCGGCTAGTTGGAAGTGTGGTTGATGGTTACATCTTATTCCAAGATACTCTGCGCCGGCTGAAAAAGGGGACATTAGGTAGAGACAGTGATATCATTTGTTTTTTAGATACCTTGATTTTCATTTGCTTTTGTTCATCAACTATGGTGCTCTACTTTGGCCTGTACAGCTACAGTAGCATTTTTGCTTACCTGAAGTGGAAAGCATTTTTGTTAAAGAACACCCTAGGAAGTTAAAGAAATAGATCTTTTCATGAAAAGTGACCTATTGTGCTGCAGAGAAGTATTTTGTGATGTTTCACTTCCCTTTCATGTTTGTAAGCTTTTACCTTATACAATTACTTGCTTCTAACAGAGGCAATAGATGTGTGAAGTCAGATGCATCTTCTACTATTTTAAACAGACAAAAGAAACCACCTCAACAAGCTATTTTAGCCTCCTTGTGGCAGCTGTCCCAGGACCAAGAAAAAGACAGCAGAGCATGCTATGTAAAACTTTCTATGTAGCTGCAAAGCTCACAGAAAGCATCCTGTGAAGCTCACCCATACCTAACTGAAACACATGCAGCTCACAAAGGGCACAAGAAGCATTCTGATGCCTGTTACACCAAGCAGCACAGAAATGTCAGAAGAAAGGGGAAGGGTGCGTAACATTAACAAAATGCAGCAACTGGCTTTAGCCTTAGGAATCTTTGGAATACAGAAGCCAACAGAATTTGTGAAAGTTAAAATTTCAATGTAGTCTTGAATAAGAAAGTTCATTCATTGATTAAAACCAACAACAATTAAACAAAACCAAACTTTCTCATTCCACACTGTTCATGAATTTATTTTTAAAAGTTGGAACATTCATCTTGAAGTTTCTTATATTCACAATAAAAATGAAGTGTCAACACACTTTGAAACTTCTGTAAAAATCCACACAACTGTATCACAACACTTCTGACCTGTTTCTGACCTAACTTGAAACCAATTTTATTGGAATCCCTTATCATAAATAACTTCTGATTTTTTTTTAATATTGTCATATTAGTTGAACAGGTGTTCTTCGGCCATGCATATCTAAGAAGTGCTGACAATTTGAGTGCGTTTTAATTCTTCACCATTTTATAAGCTATGCAAAACTCTTATCTGAGAAGTTTGTAACCAGATGTAAGGTTTACCAAGTTTTTTTTGCCAGCTCTCAAAGGGACCTAAGTTTTGCACATTTCACAATTTTTACAGATACATTTGTACTCCAGGTTAATTCCTTAGATCACAAAGTACCACACACTCTCTTAAATGCAGATTAAATATCATGCTAGCAAGGTATCCAGTTAATTTGACAGACAAAACTTTGCCTTTGCTAAATCCATACAATGTCAAGTATCTTACAAATTTAGTATCTTGTAACACTGACAGATCCTGACTCTGCATAGATGACTCTCTAAAAATACAGGTTATTTGACACTACTAACTTGACTATTTTGTTTCAAAGGGTAAAAAAATGAAGAGAAAACATAACAAATGGGATCAGCCATATTTCAAGTCTCCTCCTCAGAACTATTTTCAGTAAGGTATCAGCTTGGAGCACACCATAACACCCCGAATCAAGATTGTGATACATTACTTTAAACTCATAGATGACACACAAAATTGCTTGATGAACCTTCCCCCTTAACCAGGAGGAAAGGAGGGTGAAGAGACAACAATCAACGACTGAGCTACTCCTTAATCCAGGCATAGGAGTCAGCTGTTAAGTTTCCCCAAAAAGGAGTATTCTGTGAGAGGCAATAGGAGAATTAATCACAAATGCA